GCATGCATGCATGCATACATACATACATACATACATACATGAGTGCATACACACATGCATACACACACATACAGACATACATACATGCATGCATGCATGCATGCATACACACATACATACATACATACATACATACATACATACATACATACATACATACATACATACATACATACATACATACATACATACATACATACATACATACATATTACAAAACAAAGCAGCGCTCGGCTTCTCTTCCTCGAGGCCTGGGCGAACTCCCCCAGCAGCCCAGCCGCCGCCTGCCAGCAGGAGAGCACAGAATCGAATCGACATGTCGAACCGGCGATCGAAATGAATCGGATCGGCGGAAATCGGTAGCCAAGTCGGCAGGAGTCGAATTGTCGGAAATCGGCAGAGCAGCAAGGCCTCATCGAGACACCGGAGGCCGGATCGGCATCCGAAGTCGAATCGGGATCGGAGTCGGAGTCGAAACCCATCGAAACCGAACCGAGCCGATGCGGAGGAGTCGAGGCGAGCCCTGCCTGCCAGTGGTGGCCGTTGGCCAGCGCGCCCGTGGCGGCGATGAAGGTGGGCACGCTGGGCCGCAGGCCCGCGGCGCGCAGCTCCGCGAGCGCCTGCGCGGCCAGCAGCCACTGGCCTGCCCCGCGACACACGCCCAGGAAGGCGTTGTAGGCGAAGAGGAGCGTGCCTCTGTGTGAGCTCTCAACAAAGAGGACCCCGATGCAGGAGTGACCTGTTCGTGCGCGGCTCTTTGGGGGCCGTGGGGGGGGGGGCCAAACACAGGCGCGCAAGGCGCCACTGCCGCCTCGCATTCGGCGATCGGGGACCCCAATGGGCCAGCACCAAAGGTCACTCCGGCGAAGGGTCACTCTTACGTGTAGTCGACTATCCTTCTTTCCTTCGGCCACGCGCCTCGAGCGCCGTCTTCCAGGCGCGCGGCCTGGCGAAGCAGCGCGAGCGCGTGCCCCCACTGCTGCCCGGGCTCACAGGCGGCGATCGCGGACGTGAGGATGGCCATGTCGGGCTCGAGCCGCAGCGCGGGCAGCTCGCGCAGCAGCTCCAGGGCCACGTGCACCCGCTGTCCCCTTCGGCACGCCTCCACCTTCTGTGGCAACTCATGGGAGCCTCCCATGTCGTCTTGCCGGCTCTCGCGAACGAATTGACGCTGGCCGACGCTACCGCCGACGCGAATCGGCGCTCCTCGAGGCGAAACAAACGCGACCCGACGCAACATCTGCGCCTTCCCATCGACTACCAGACGCTGGCGCACGCGCATGTACTCTCATGTCGAGGCCCCGAGGACACACGAGGCTCCCATGATTTATCGACTACTGTCCCCTCCTCCCCCTCCTCCTCCTCCTCCTCCTCCTCCTCCTCCTCCTCCTCCTCCTCCTCCTCCTCCTCCTCCTCCTGTCCTCCTCCTCCTCCTCCTCCTCCTCGTCCTCCTCCTCCAACCCAGAGTCGGCATCTTACATCGAGCGGGGACGTGCTCCACAGTCGGGACTCCGAGGACACACAGGGCTCGCATGGCCTTGCTGTAGGTCGGGCAGGTCCCCCTACAGGCGGATCTGGGACGAAACCTTAGAAATACCCCCGAACAACAAAAATCTTCGGAAATGCGACGAAAAAGAAGAATCGTCCCCGGACTGTTTTGTCTTACTGTTTTTGAATTTTCCTCCTGCAGAGGGACACGCCTGACGGAAGGCTTGCTGCCGGGGCCCCACCCCGAGGTTCACCGCCAGCAGGTCCGGGCCCAGCCTGCGGCCCCGCGCCTCCGACAGCAGCGCGAGCGCGCCCCGCCACCGCGACGCGCGCCCGAGCGCGCTGGCGGCCGCGTTGTAGGACCTGGCGCCGGGGGCTTCGGACGCTCGCTGGGACGCACAGGGACATTTTTTCTTGTTGTTTGCCGATGGGGGCATTCAACTGCATTGGTTAAAAGCCTGGCAACAGCAGCAGCGCCACTGAAAGACAGACACACAGGCAAGAGTGACGCACAGGGACATACTGATACTACATGTCCTCCTCGGAGGCGCGCGTCCGACCCGGACATATAGCATACCCATCGTGTAGTATATCGTTTCCCGAGCGGTGTGGCCAGAAAGCGCCCGCCACGACGCATATACTAGAAGATTTCTCGGTGCGCGCGTCGCCCCTGGGGGGGCGACGAACACATCGTATAAGTATGGTGGGGGGACGCCGAAGAGGCCTCGGATTTCGGAAACCCTGAAACCAAAAACGTTTTCCTCTCTTGGCTCTTGGGGACGCATTCTTTACTTCCGCCGCCTTCCGCCGATCTTCCGCCAGCTTCCGCCGGTTGAGGCGGCCTCGTTTTGCTTCCGCCGACCTTCCGCCGCCCTTCCGCCGCCTTCCGCGGCGGAAGAGATGACACTCTTCATATCCTCGAAGGCAGAGCCTTTTTGGAAAGCCTCAGATGTGGTCCGAGCAGATGGGGTCGGAAGATCGGCGATGCGTCGGAGGTGCATCGGCGATGCATCGGCGTCGACGTCGACGCGCGCCCGAGCGCGGTGGCGGCCGCGTTGTAGGACCTGGCGTTCGGTCGGGCGTGTCCTCCTACGGGGGGATTGTGGACGAAACATGCAAAATAGTCACACAACAAAAACAAACAACAACAACAAACAAAAAAAAAAAAAAAAAAACAAATCGCCCCCAGAGGGCAGAGGACCTGGCGCCGAGGGCTTCGGACGCTTGCGTTAGGTCGGGCGTGTACCCCTACAGCCGGAATTCTGGACGAAAAATAATCCAAAAACATATTCCACACATAATCGAGAAATGATCGAAAAATCGTCCCCAGCGTATTTCTTTACTATGTTTGGACATTCCTCCTGTAGAGGGACAGGCCCGACTTAAACCTGGCGCGAGGGCTTCGGACGCCATGACAACGGAGACACCCAAACAACACTAGAACTGCATTGAAGATGTGCTTGAGGTGTTTGAAACATGTTCTACAGATGTTTAAACCATGTGTTGTACATGGTTAAGACATGTTTATGAAGAGGCCCTGGGACACACAAATAAATACAAACTAATCTCCGGATCCCCCATATGTTTCTACATTTTCTGGGTGTTCGTCTTCCCCCCCCCAATTCCCATAGTTTCCAATCTTTTCCTGGGGACCGACGATTGATTGTGTCTGTGTGTTTGCTCCCCTCCTGATTTGAACCATGCTTAAACATCTTGCAACTGTTTGGCAACACGCCTCCTCTCCACTGACTGTCGTCCATGAACGCTCGCGTCTGTTCGCCTCGGGTGCCTCGGCCGTCCGCCTGCAACGCGACCATCGCCGCGGCGGAGATCCGGGGCAGCGCCACAGCTTCGGGGCTCGAGGTGCGCGGTCTTCGGACATCCTCTCTCGTCGGTTCTCGGCGAGTTGTTCCAGCCCCGGCATGCCGCCCAGCGGCCGCGCCTCGCCGCGAGCGTTCCGGGGGGGGCCCGGATCGTCCCGAACGGCCGCCGGAGAGCCGAGATGGGGCCCGAGATGGGCGGGTGCTCTCGCGGCAGCTTCTGCACGCCACCTTCCACACGTCCCTTCCCCGACCTGGCGCTTGGTCGGGCGCCGCGGCCCTCCATGCCCCGCAGGAGGCACAGGGCCAGCTGCCACTGCTGGCCCGTGTCGCACGCCCGGATCGCAGTGTTGTGGGCGATCTCGTCTGGCCGCAGCCGCCCTTGCAGCATGGCCTGGAACAGCCGCAGCGCCCAGGGCCATCCCTCGCTGCAACAGGCGTTGGCGACGACGGAGTAGGTGACGACGTTGGGCTCCGTCCGCCTCTCTGGCAGCGACCCCAGCAGCAGGAGGGCGCGCCGCCATTGCTGGCCCCTATCCAGCGCGCTCAGGGTGGAGTTGAACGTGACGATGTCTGGCGCGAGCGCCCCCTCGCTCACACGTTGGAGCAGCGCCACGGCCATCTCCCACTGATGGCCCCTCTCCTGAGGGGCAGCGACAGGGAGGGGGGACACGCTCTGGGGGGGGAACATCAACCTGGAATCGGCGATACATCGCCGATCGATCGCCGACAGGCCCACGATAGCGGAACCGCAGGTTCCCGTGCGGGAAAAGGCTATCAGGCCCCTCTCGGCGATGCATGGGCGATTACAAGTCGCTGCGCCCCCCCTGAGTCTGTCATACTGATGCTATATGTCCTCCTCGGGGGCGCGCGTCCGACCCAGACATATAGTATACCCATCCTGTAGTAGATCGTTTCCCGAGCGGTGTGGCCAGAAAGCGCCCGCCACGACGCATACACTATAAGATTTCTCGGTGCACGCGGCGACCCTGGGGGGGCGACGCACATCTAGTAGAAGTATGTTGGGTTGACGCCGATCCCAAACCCCCCCCCCAAAAAAAAGGTCCCCGAACGATCCGGGCCCCCCCCCTGGAACGCTCTCGGCGAGGCGCAGCAGCTGGAAGGCACGCCGAGGCCGGAAAAACTGGCCGCGGAACGACGAGCGAGAACGCCCGAAAACCGCGAGCCTCTCGGGCCCCGAAGCTATGGCGCTGCCCCGGATCTCCGCCGCGGTGATGGTCGCGTTGCAGGCGGACGGCCGAGGCACCCGAGGCGAACAGACGCGAGCGTTCATGGACGACAGTCAGTGGAGAGGAAGCATGTTGCCAAACAAATTCAAGATGTTTACAACATTGTTTAAATCGTCGATCCCCGGGAAAATATGGGAAAACATGGGAGTGGGGGGGGAAGACGAAAACCCAGAAAACATAGAAACAGATGGGGAATCCTGAGATTAGTGTGTATCTATGCGTGTGTGTGTCCCAGGGCCATGTCAGTAAACATGTCTTAACCATGCACAGCACATGGTTTGAACATGTGTAGAGCATGTTTCAAGGAGGAGGAGGAGGAGGAGGAGGAGGAGGAGAAGGAGGAGGAGGAGGAGGGGATGAGGAGAGGGAGGAGGAGGAGGAGGAGGAGGAGGAGGAGGAGGAGGAGGAGCTCCGCCGCGGTGATGGTCGCGTTGTAGGCAAACAGCCCCGGGCCGAGCCCCCGCGCGCCCATGTGCTCGAGCAGCCCCAGCGCCGCAGGCCACAGCTCCGCCCTGCCCAGCGCCTGGAGCACCACGGTGCAGTCCCTGGGGTCCCCCAGCAGCCCTCGCCGCTTCAGCTCCTCCCGAAGAAGAGGAAGAAGAAGAAGAAGAGGAAGAATAAGAAGAAGAAGAAGAAGAAGAAGAAGAGGAAGAAGAGAAGAGAGGAGGAAGAAGAAGAGAAGAGAGAAAGAGGAAGAGAAGAAGAAGAAGAGAAAGATAGGTCGCCGGAACCCAGACCCCCTCGCGCCGTGACAAAAAGAGGCACGGCGGGAAAAATGTGGCGATCCATCGGCATCTCCGGGGCCCTGCTGGGTCCCGGCACCCTCCGAAAAGGACGCGGGAGGAGGAGCTGATCCCCAGGAAGGGGTCCAGACCTCTGAGGTCCACGCCATGAAAGAAGTCGTAACGCCCGGGGACTCCTCCTCCTCCCCCTCCTCCTCCTCCTCTTCCTCCCCCTCCCCCTCCCACTCCGCCTCCTCCTCCTCCTCCTCCTCCTCCTCTTCCTCCTTCCTCCTCCTCCTCCTCCTCCTCCTCCTCCTCCATCCTCCTCCTCCTACCCTCCTCTCCCCTTCCTTCCTTCCTCCTCTCCTCCTCCCCGGAGGTCCGAGCGCACCTCCTCGATCGGGAGGGGCCTAGGCAGCCCCCTTCCCCGGCACGCGCAGCGCGCCGTGAGGGGGGGGGGGGGGTGGGAGGGCAGAAGCGTCCGCGAGGATGATGGTCCTCCTCCTTCTTTCTCTCCTCCTCCTCCTCCTCCTCCTCTTTCCCTCCTCCTCTTCCCTCCTCCTTCCTCCTTCCTCTTCCTTCCCTCACTCCGTACCTCTTCGCTACCTACTCTCCTCCTCCTTCCCCTCCCTCCTCTGCCCTCCTCCTCCCTTCCTTCTCCTTTCCTACTATCCTACTCCTACCTTTTCCTCCTCCTCCTCCTCCTTCCCTCCGCCTCCTCCTCCTCCTTACTCCCCTCCCTCCTTCCCCTCTCCTCCCCCCTTCCTCCTCCTTCCTCCCTCCTCCTCCTCCTCCTCCTTCTCCTCCTCTTCCTCTTTCATCCTCCTCCCGAACACACCTGCCCCTCCCTACCTTCCTCCTCTCCGCCGCTCCGATGCAAGAAGCATCCGCGCGGAGCTCCAAAAGTCTAGGCGCACCCATCGTGCGGGCAGTGTCCATATCCACATCCAGTGCGTCTTGGAGTTTCGGGCTCCCTGCCCCAAAAGCATGAGGCGCACTGGATATGGACTAGAATCTGGCCCCAAGAAGCTAGATTTTATCCGTATCCAGTGCGCCTCGGCCTTGCGGCGCCCCTTCCGAGAAAGTCCAACACGCCCTGGATATGGATATAAGTATTGCCCGCACATCGGTCGGAAAAAGTGGGCAGACATATGAAGTAGGAAGGCGTTGAAACTAGATTGCGTTTCCGCCCGCCCCCTTGAAACAAAAGAAAAGGGGAAGCCCACTCGACATCTGGAAGCAGGAAGGCGCCAAAGTGTACTGGAATCCGGGGATCACGAAAAACCTGCTTTTCAACGACCGATGGGTGTGCAGCTTTCGCCCCCTCGATCCTCGGTGATGTGGCCCACCTGACGGCGGAAGCAACAAGGGGCAGATGGCCAGAGGGGAGGGCACAACGCGCACTCGCCCAGGGAGCTTCGAAAGCACAGGCGATGGGAGCCCCTGGATGCATGTTCTCCCACCAGTCCTTTAGGGCGTGAATGGTTTAGGAAGTTTCTTCTTCCACACCCCCTTTCTTCCCCTTCGGGGAGGGTTTGATCACTGCTGTCTATATGGGTACACACCCCCTGCAGATGGGCTGGTGGGGTCACGCGACGCAGGTAGACTTGCCCCCGTCTGAACTATCCGCCCGTTGAAGCATCGCGAGAAATCACGCTTGGGACCCTAGCCCCCAACTTTCTGCAACATTTCCCTAGCTGGAGCGACCTGCGAGGGCCCCGGGGCCCACAAACCGGACCAAAGCGACCGGCGTAACACACACACACACACATACACACATACTGACAGATAGACATAGATTCACAGAAACGTATATACATACTTAAACACATACTCTCACGCATTCATGAAGGCATGCATACATACGTACCGACCTACCGACCAACCTGCATACATAAATAGGCACATGCATACATGCACGAGCATACATACATACATACATACATACATACATACATACAGACACACACATACACATACATACATAAATACATGCATACATACATACATGCAATACATACACGTAGGCATGCATACATACATTCATATATGTATGTATACAAAAATACATACAGATATGCGTGCGCATATATATATATATATATATATGCTCTGGGTGTTCTTGACGGGCCAAGTGTTTTTAATCTCGCCACCGGGCAACGATCTGTGTGTGCCGATCTCGCCAAGATACTTGTAGCCACGAGTCCCTGCACACGCACCTTGCAAATCTCAGAGGAACCGGTTCCACCAGAGTCCCCTGTCGAAGAGCACAGGCACGCGCAAGAACGCGGGCCACAGAACTCTTGTCCTTAAAAGGCGGCGAAAAGAGGGTGGTTTGGGGTGGCAGGACGCGCAGCGAACGGAGACCGTGGGAGTCTCGAGCAACAATGCAGTGGAAGCGGCCCTCAACAATTCGCATGTGAACAAAGACCAATGTATGTTCTGGATGTTCTTGACTGGCCAGGTGTTTAAAATCTCGCCACCGGGCAACGATCTGTGTGCGCCGATCTCGCCAAGATACTTGTAGCCACGAGACCCTGCACACGCACCTTGCAAATCTCAGAGGAACCGGTTCCACCAGAGTCCCCAAAGACGCCTTTCCGCCCAAAGGTAACACCTGGCATGCCGTAAAATAAGCCACGCCCCAAGAGACCCATAGCTAAACCATTTCCACCCACTTAAGATTCGATACGATCACTTTAGCATCTCGACGACAAAAGGCCTCCTGGGGCGGCAGACGCTGCACCAGCTCGTTGAGGCGATCGGCCTTGACGTAGTGGTGCAGGGATGAGTCCGACTGCCATCGACCTCGCTTCTTCACTCCAGCGAGATCGCGGCCGCCGCCGAGAAGCTCGAGGCCGGCGCCGCCGCGACGCAGCTGGCACAGGGACACTGGCTGCAGGGGACCGAGCGGTAATTAGCGCGGCGACTGCGTGTTGAGACTGACAGCATCTCTGAGGACATGTCAGGCCAGCGATGCCGGCGTCGGGGCTGCCCAGACTGATGAGCGCGAGGTGATCGAAGGCGAGCACCTTCATGCAGATCAGCGCCACCACCGCCCAAGGCAAGGCGAACCGCGCACGAGATTGCGCCAACCTTCCGAAGCCCATCAGGGCCCGTCGAGCTCGGAGCCGCCCTGGAGACCTGCGGGTCGCGCGGGAGTCGCAGAGCGCGATGGCGGCCAGGAGGGCCGAGGCCTTGTCCACGACTTCGCCGTTGAGGAAGAGGTCGTGGATGTCGGCGACCACCGCGTGATCCAGCTCTGTCACGGTGCTGATCGGGGGCCTCGAGCTGGCCGCCCACAAAGGAAAGGCCTGGATCATCTCGCGGCACCGGGTCTGCTGGGCAAGCCGCGCCACGCTCTGCTCGAGCAGGGGCTGGCCGGGGATTGTCCACACTGGTTCCCACGGGCGCTGGCGGCCTCGAGCACGGCGGCGGTCGCCCCGGCGGGCGCTCACCAGAGCACCCCGGTCGAGGACTCCGCGAGGCGCCGTCGCACGCTGCAGGCTGGAGGCCTGGCGGGCGCGCGGAGGGCGAGAGCCCGCTGCGGCGGGTCGTCTGCGCACGGGAGGGCGAGTCAAGCTCGCCGGGCGCGGCCGACCCTCCTGGGCGGTCGCCGTCCAAGCCGCCGGCGGCGTCGAGGCCGTCGAAGGCGGGGCCAGGTAGGCGGCCGGCAGCTCTGACGCGACGCTCGCGGGCGGCCACAGGGGCGGCGCCCAAGGCCACCTCAGCATGCACGCGCCGCGGGCGGTCGGGCGCGATGCCCCCCAGCCCAGGTGGAGGACCGAGCCCACGTTGACTGGCAGGGGCTCGAGCCAGCCGAACGTTGCGAGAGGGCGGGTCGCTAGCATTGTGCTCCGAGGGAACCCATCGCCAGACATGGTAGGAGAACGACGCGACTGACACAGCCCCGCGCTGACGACAGATTCGCATCATAGCCCTCGTCGACGGCCCTTCGCAACCGCCAAGATGGGGGCCATGGGGCCCCCGAGGTGGAGGTGGCGACAGCCAAACGACGCCAAGGACCTAGCACAGCGTTTTGTCGACCAGACCATAGCGCGACCTTCGAGGCAAACCTGAGGTTCGGATCTCGCCCAGGTGCCAATCCCCATCCCGCACCGACGAGGGCGCCGAGGGGAAGGATTTCGCGGCGGCGTCCGGCCCGGGCGACGAGGTACCGACCCCCTCCGGGACGGCGGCGCAAGCCTGGGGCCGACCCGGCCGATGACTCGCGGCGCGGGCGCCCGGCCCAGGCTGCGAGCTATCATCCGAACCATCTCGGGTGACCACCGGGGGCCCCGCCTCATCCGACGCGCCGGGGGTCTCACAGGACAGGCCACGCTTCCCATGAGCGAGGCAGGATCGAGGTGGATCCACCGCCGGCAACGAGGGAGAGGACACCCCAGACACCCCGTCAGCTGCGCCCAGCGGGGGCGACGAGGAGGCCGAGGCATCAAAGCCCCCGAGGCGGGCGGCCAGGAGGGCCGAGTCCCGAGGACACCATTTCTTGTCTTCTTCCCGCGAGAACCTCCATCGCTCGTTCCGCTTACCTAACTCGGAGACCACGACGGGGTCCAACTTCTGAGTGCATATTCCCAAGCCCCAACTGGATGCATCCACCACTGAGACCTCCGAGGACCACAGGGCGGCCAAGTCGCACACGGCAAGAACGATGAGATGACTAGCCCACAGGAATTCCCTTGTCACCGCTGGCCACAGCGCCACTGCCATGTCGCCAGCGTGCTCAATGAACGAGTAAGCCGCGTTGAAAACGCACAGAAGTTCTTGGCGGACCAGAGCCCTGGTGGTAAAATGCGACACGAGGATCTCTAGTCTCCCCCGAAGCATACTTCTTCCGAACGAACTCCTGGAAACCCAGACGTAACTTCCAACAGGTGACGGAATTGATTCCGACTTCAGCTGAATCATCCGAGAAGGTCCAACCCAGGGTCGCGCCTCCTTTCGCGTCTTCCACCGGGTGCACAGGTAGCCGAGCACGCGCAGGCTCGGCGGAGACGGCGCGGGCGGCATCGCCCGCGGACTGCTGAGACTGGCGGAGGGAGATGCAATTGTCAACATGTTCTGTGTGCATCATAGGCCGAAGAGGAAGAGCGGGTCTGCCATCGAAGAGGGCATTGTCTCCTCGAACGCTAGGTGCACGCCGAACGATGACCTCAAGGGCATGTTGCATGATCCACAGAGATAGCTTCCAGCCCATCGGGATCGCCGCGAATCAGGGGGCGATGAACGTCGAGGGAGCCACAGACACACCGTCAACTTCCGAGACGCCCACTTGTCCAGCCCGAAAACGAGGAAGCCAAAAGAAACACCGAAGATTCTCGGGAAGAGCTAGGTTGTAGAACGCGTTCGCCACGTCAACACCCCCGACGCAAATAGGTTCACTGGAGTCGACCTGGATTGATGAAAACGAAGACCCACTCGCCACATGAACTGGATCGGAGTCGTCAAACCAACAGCTCGGAACACGTCCGTCGATGATAACCCGAAGCTCCCCAAACTTCTTGCACACTGCGAAGATCCCAACCGTTGCTTTGCATCCTGACCCCCACTCCACCAAGCCAGCCTCACGGAGCCGAATTAAGACAGAGGCGTATAAACGTGGAGAGCTCGCGGGAGCCGGCAGGTCGAGGAGGCAGACATTGTCTGGGCCGATCGGCGCCAAGGTAGCCGGTTCACCACCATGCGCGCGCCAGGCGCAGAGCTCACTGAGTGCTCCCGCGCCAGAGAGGTCAGGAGGAGGAGGCCCAAGACGATCCACGGCACGCCGAAGGCGACGAAAAGGCCTCGCACTGGGCCGCGCTAGGACGCGCTGGTCCTGATCCGGCAGGCCCTCCCGAAAAAAATATATTTTAAACTCGAGGCGACGTGTCGGCAAAACTGGCCCGAGTGGGCCTGGCGGAGATGTCGCCTGCGAACGGACCGGGATAAAACTGGCGAGGGCCGACCCACGTCATGACGGCAGCGGAGAGGAAGAGGGAGAAGGTCACGCCGCCGCTCACAGGCAGAGCCGCAGGCTGTGTCAAAAGGAAGTAAATATTGAATCTCACGGCGATCAGAAGCCTCTCGATTGGGCACCAGGCTAGAGGCCTCACCTGGGCCGCGGGGGAGCGTCATTATTGCTTCTTGAGGAGCGCTGCCCGCTCCCCCTTGGCTTTCGGACTTGTTTCAATATCGCGGCATCATCCTCGACTTCTCGAGCGACGTGATCGAGCAAAGCAGGACACACCATGGCTGAGTCGGTGTCTTTGTTGAGGCCAGAGAAATTCGCGGCTTCGTCCATCAACCCCACAAACGACACGGTCGAGCTGGTGGATTTCTTCTCGTTGTTGCCGCTTCTCTCGGCTACACCCATCGAGCCCATCCAGTAGTACACTCAGTAGACATACTCGGTGAGTTGGGCTTTGCGCATGAGCGACTCGATCCCTGCCAGGTCGCAGATGTTCGCCCCATCGAAACAGGCAGTCTCCTCGAGCACCCGAAGCGCCGTGGCATGCATCTCAACACCCCAAGAATCTGGCTTCAAGGAAAACACGCTGAGGAACTGTCTGTGATGAGCAACGGGAGAAGAAGATCGTCGGCCCAGCCACTCCGCACACCACTTCACCGCCCTCGGGCACGGCACGGGCCAATTGACGCACGGGAACTCCTCAAGCTCCTTGCATACGTCACTCCAGCCACGACGAGGCCGAGCAGGCATGTGAGAGGAGCCGCCGAGAACCCGAGGATCACGAACAGCTTCGAGGGCAGCGAAGGTCTCGGCATCCATGGCGCCAATGTTCCGCAGCACGACACTGAGGCCCGCGGGGGTCCGCACGATGGCCAGCTCGCCCTGCACCATCGCATTCGCCGGGAGCTGGACCGCTTCGCCGCGCTTGGCGAAGGCGGTGCTCTCGACCACGACCCAGGTTGGCGCCGCCACCGCGGCTGCTCCAGCCGCAGGGCCGACGGGCATCGCAGCAGGAGGCGTAGCCTCACGCTCCGCGGGCACGATGGCACCAGCGCCTGCCGCGGGGGCCGCGGCCACCGGCGCGGCAGCGCCAAGCCCACCACCGCCGTCGGCGCCCAGCAGCACCAGGCAGTCCGCAGGCGGCGCCACGAAGGGGAGCCCCGCCACGGCCGCCTCGGCGGCAAGCACCGCAGCCGCGTACGTCTCACCCGCGGCCTGGTATGCCGTGACCTCCGCGGCCGCGGGAGCCCGCCTGAAGCGATAGCTGTCTTGGGCGGTGATGCCTGGCGGTCGACTCCGATCAGCACACACACACACACACGAATCGCCGCGATGTCCGCCGACCTCCCGGAGTAGTCCTCATCGTACACATCCCCGTCGGGCGTGCAGATGATGAGGCGCCACTCCTCATTCGGAGTCGGAACCGGTCGCCGCAAGCGACCCAACGCCAGACGCTGATGCCAGAGCGGGTCGCCGACGTACAGGACCCAGAGCCAGCGGTCTGGCTGGGCTGCTGACATCTGAAGTCACCGAACAGCTCGTCGAGGCCCAACGCCGCCGGCACAGGTGGCAGCCCGAGGACAGCAAGCAAACAGCGGCACTCCCGGCGAGCACCCCGAGCAGGAGGGCGCACCCGAGCGCAGCCGGTCCCAGCCCTCCCGGCGGAGCGACCTCCTGCGGCGAGGGGGCAGCAGCGGCGGAGCATTCCTGCACGATCGGCGGCGGCGCCCCCGGGCAGGCTGGGCACGCCGCACACGGAGGGCAAGGGTGCCGCGTTGGCCAGCTGAGACAGGCAGGACACGGAGGCGCTGACGGGCAGCGCGAGAGGTATGAAACAGTGATCTGGGACGCGTATCCTAAGAAAGGGGAGATGGCGGCCAGCATGGGGCGTGGGCCCGTTCAGTCTTGAGCAACAATGCAATGGAAGCGGCCCTCAACGACACTCGAGGCAGACAATTCGCATGTGAACAAAGACCGATGAGATGCTTGCACACATACATACATACATGCATGCAAATATATACACACGTGCATGCAAGCATACATAATTACTTGCATACAAACATACCTGCATGCATACATACATGCATGCATGCATGCATGCATACGTGCATGCATATATGTACATATGCGTGTGCATGTATATATATTATATATATATATATTATATGATATAAATTATATAATATATATATATATACATACACAGACACAGACACACCTGCATACATGCATACTTACTTACATATATACATACTTGCACACATGCATGCATACGTACATACGCACACGCAAACATGTACATATGTACATACATGCATGCATCCATACACACATGCTCATATACCTACATACATACAAACATACATGTATATGTTTATACAAGTATGCGTGGAAAATATTTACTCGACGCGGAGATCCCGATATGTGCATCGATGTGCCCATACCTTCCCCGCTGCGAGTGTAAGAGGTCTGAGAGCATCTGAATGTGAATGCCTCCACCCCTGGGGGCTCCCCCTTGGGAGTACTGAAACGAACGCCTCGCCATCCTCACAACCTGCTCCGAAAGCGGAGAATGTTGGGCACCCAAACATGCAAACCACCTGAAACATGCCCACAATCTGAGCGCGAATCCTGAACGTCCCCACCCCCCTTGCGAGAGCTAAATCCAGCGCCTCGCCTGAAACATCCACACAATCTGCTCCGAAAACAAAGGATGTTGGGCACCCAAACACGCAAACCGCCCGAGACCTCCTTTTCACGATATGGGCGCGAATCTTGGTGTGTGGCCACCCCTGGCGGGTCCCCCTTGGAAGTGTCGCAACCAGCGCCTCGCCTGAGAAATCCTCACAAGCTGCTGCGAAAGCACAGGATGTTGGGCACCCCAACATGCAAATCGGCTGAGACATCCCAACAATGTGGGCGCGAATCCTGAATTATCCCCACTCCTAACGGCCCCCTCCTGGGAGTGCGGAAACCAACACCTTGCCTGAGACATCCTCACAGTCTGTCTCTGTAGTTATGAGCATGAGTGAATCTGAGTGAGGAAGTCATGTGACTGAGTCTGAATGAGAAAGAATTGACAAGAGCATGACTGAGTCTGGATATGAGTGCGTCTGGATGTGAGTGAGTCTGCATATGATTAAGTCTGATTGTAAGTGAGCCGAGTGATCTGAATGAGCCTGAGCGAATCTGACTACGAGCGAGTCTGAGTGCGAGTGAGTCTGAGTATGCGCGGGCCTGACCGTGAGAGAGTGCATCTAAGGAAGAGGAGGAAGAGGGTGTGAGGTGCGAGGGAGGAGGTCCGCTGGCGCATGTGCCATGACAAGAACCCCATCCTAGGATATAGGACAAGAACAAAAAGAGTCTGCGCCCAGATTTCAGGGCTGCTGCTGCCGCAACCGCCACCTGCGCCGCGCCCTGCGCGCCCAACCGCGCCTCCCGCCGCAGCCGCGCAAGCAGCCCGCGCCGGGCGTCGTCCGAGGGCCCAGCCCTGGGCCCGCTGGCCGCGGCCCGCCCAGCGCCCGAGCCCGCTGTGGCCCGGGGGCCGCCGCCGCTGCGGCCGAAGGCCAGCCGCCGTGGGACGCGGGGACTCATCGCGCGACGAACCCCGCGCAGCAGCAGCTGCAGCGAGAGACCGCGCCGCCGCCAGCCGGCCACGCGCGCTGCCGCGCGCGCCCATGGCGCACTCGCCTCAACAGGAAGCCCCCAAAAATGGATCCGAGCAGATGGGGTCGGAGGATCTCGCCGCATCGGCGATGCCGTCGGCGATGCCATCGGCGATGCCGTCGTCGATGCATCGGCGATGCAGCGGCGACGTCTGCGCGGAAAAGGTCGGGCCCCACATCGAGCCGCACCGCCGATGCATCGGCATCAGGGCGCCATCCTCTGCACCCATCCACTCCGACGCCATCTGGGAGGCCTAGATCGACGGGGCACCCTTCGGCGTGGCGCCCCGCCCGACGCAGGGCGCACTCGAGCCAGAGCCAAACATGCCCGCGTCGTAATACGAAAACGAACAAACAAACAAACAAACAAACAAACAAACAAACAAACCAAACAAACTAACAAACAAACAAACAAACAAACAAACAAACAAACAAACAACAGCATCAGGAACAACAACAACAACCAGCACAACAACAACAACACCACCAACAACAACAACAATCAGTTTAATAATGTTCGCTCTTATATGCTCGCGTGTCACTCGATATGCATGTCCCGAACCCTGGACACACGCCCTCTTCGTCTTCGATCGTACCCCCTTTTGGGTGGTGCATCCATTCCCTGCAACGCGTAGTTGGTGAAGCCCTTGAAAACGAAGGGCAACAGATAACGGGGGTGAATGAGGACGGGGGGACCGGAGGAAGGGAGGGGAGGGGCAAGAAGAAGGGAGGACGATGATTTGCGCTGCGAGTGGCAATTCCGCTTGCGCCATGACTTGCGCCAGCCACTCCAACACAGGTTAACAATAAGTTTCGCCATGGGTCGCGCCATAAACAGCGCAACGTACCACCGCCTTGAAATAACATATCGTGCATAGCCCCACGGGGGGACGTACAGCTGCGAACTGGAGTCAGAAACAAGTTTCGTGGAACCCCTGAAAAGAAGCGGGATGCTGGGAGAGCGGGGCGGAAGGATAGTGAGAACTGCAACCGTGTCGAGCGGAGCGCGGAAGCCCCAAGTGAGAGCGCGATTCTTCAATAAATTGTGAGGAAGTATCAAGCGGGAGCCGCGATCCGGTGGTAAATTGCAAGGAAGTCCCAAGCGACAGCGCGATTCTTCAATAAATTGTGAGGAAGTATCAGGCGGGAGCCGTTGTTGTTGTAAACAGGGGGCCAACAACACAGTTTGACCCTCAAGACTGTCCCTGACAAACAACAAGATGCGAGCCCCGGGAAGGGCACTTCAATCGAAAAAACAATATGCACCAGACGGTGGGGATCAACAAGAAATATTTTCCAGATATGAAAATTCAACACCAACAACAAAAACAAAAACTAAAACAAAAACAACAACAACAACAACAACAACAACAACAGCAACAACAACAATCACTTTACCCGAACGCTCAGTGTTCTCACCAGTGCCAGGGTTTTCATGCGACGCCAGCCAATACCCCCACTTTGTGGGGGGCAATGCAAGCTCTACCAAATATCCACACGACTCTTCGCCACCACCCACACCCAGCTTCCCGCCCTATGACGTTCGGACACTTCACTTCGTGGCCTGCGGACGACCGTGGCTACTACACTGGCGTGAGTACACACCCACAGAAGTTGTTAGGACAGCGCGCGCGGGTAGAAATTTTGAAAAGTCGTGCAGGTGTTTTTCGAGGACCTACGGTGCGATTCGTGTGATTTTATGATGCGCGGTGCTAAAATTCTTAAGAAGCCCAATGGTTTTGGAGATTTCGGCGTGCGCGCGCGAAGAAAAAACGAATGTGTCCCGCATGGTATTATTTGACAGGGATGATGGCCCTGGCAGGTGCGCAACCGTTGTTGCAGAAGTTCGAAAAAATTGCTCGCAAAAGCCCGTTTGACAGAAATGTTTAAAAAGTGTTGGGTTTCCTACAAATCCGCAAGAGCGCGCGGGATGAAATTTTGACATTTTTTTTGTGAAAAACCATTGGTGTGTGGATTTTTTTTGTTAAATAATAAAAAAAAAAAAAATAAACAAACAAACAAAATAAACATACGAAAAAAAAAAGTAACAAAAAAGAAAAAAATCGCTCCGAACACTAAGCTTTTGGAAGGATTTCGTCTTGCGCGCGCGAATGTCCACTTTACCTTATTTTTTGCAAGGGATTCTTGAAATTTGATTATATTAGAACAAGAAATGTCATTTTATAGTGTTTTTTGCAAGGGAAAACGGATTGCAACAAAACAACCGGATCTGGATCACATCGTTTACCTGAGGCTTCCTCACGAAAATGATGAAAATGTAGCTGCGCCTAGGCCGGCGGGGGGGCGCGGGGGGAAATCAGGGTGGACCCAACAATAATTATTCTTTAAGAATTATAATGTTTCCTACGCAACAACAACAGCAACAACAAACAACCAAGACAGACGACAACAATCTACACCACAAACAAGAACAATAACGATAACAAACCACAACAATCAGTTTAAGATTGTTTTCGCCTTTTTTATTTATTTCTTATCTGCTCGAGTGTCTAACAACGCGTATTCCCCAAACCCTCGATACCCGCCCTCTTCGTCTTCGATGGAACCCCTTTTGGGGGTATACCTTTCTTCCCTGCAGGCCGGGCCCCGGCAAGCGGCGGGGCGGCCGCGGACCGTCGGCCTGGCCAGCGGCAGCGCTGATCGGCTGGGCGGCCGCGGACCGTCGACCCGACCCCAAGAGGGACGGACAGGGGACCGACCACGACGACGACGACGACGACGACGACGACGACGACGACGACGACGACGTCGAAGACGACGGCGACGACGACGACGGGGGCGACGACGGGCGAAAGCGAGAGCGAGAAAGAACGACAGCAGGGCCACGAAGGGCACGAAGTAGGCCACGAAGGGCGACAGCGGGGACACGAAGGGAATGCGTATGGGTCCACGAAGAGCGCAAACGAGCGGGGGCCACGAAGTGCAGATAATGCGGGGCCACAGAAGGCAACTGTGGGGCCACTGAGGGTAGCAACTGGGCCACGTAAGACAGTGAGGGGGACACAAATGGCGACAGCGGGGCCACGAAGGGCATGCACATGGGGCCACAACGGGCGCGACTCCTGGGTGCCTGGGTGTCGGGAGCGCGGCGCTTGGGCAAACTGCAAGAAATTCCAAAGCAAAGCCATTCTTCAGTAAGTTGCAAGGAAGTCTCCAGCGAGAGCGCGACTCCAAAGCGCCGGGAGAGCGATTCTTGAATAAACTATAAGGAAGTCCCAAGCGAGATCGCGATTCCTGAATAAAACGCGAGGAAGTCTCGGGCGGGAGCGGGGGTCCTGGTTAAATTGTAAGGAAGACTCACGCGGGAACCGTTGTTGTTGTAACCCGGGGGGCACGGGCCCAGTTTGAGCAGGAAGACTCTCCCTGTCAAAAAACAGGGTGCGAGCGTCGAGGGGCACATTTTGATTGAGAAAAGTAATATGCACCGGCGGGGGGGATCAACAATTACGCTACCGAGGAACCCCACATACTTATATTGTGGCTGGAGTGATGAGAGCTGAAGTCAAGCATGTGAGAATGATGTTGGTGGCGGTTGCCCCGCCGATACCGCTGTGCCCTGGACGACCGTCACGGATAGCGGCCGCGGTGAGAGACCACCCCCTGCGCACCCCCTTTATGGTGTCGAGAATATGCCATGCCTGCTGTGCCCTGGACGACCGTCACGGATAGCGGCCGCGGTGTGAGACCACCCCCTGCGCACCCCCTTATGGTGTCGAGAATATGCCATGCCTGCTGTGCCCTGGAACGCCGTCACGGATGCGGCCGCGGCGAGAGACACCCCCCTGCGCACCCCCTATGGTGTCCGAGAAAGCGCCACCCTGCTGTGCCCTGGACACCGTCACGGATAGCGGCCGCGCTGAGAGACCCCCCAATGCGCACCCCCCGATGGTAATCGAGAATATGCCATGCTGCTGTGCACTGGACGACCGTCAACGGATAGAGTCCGTTGTGAGAGACCACCCCTGCGCACCCCGTATGGTGTCGAGAATATGCCATGCCTGCTGTGCCCTGGACGACCGTCACGGATAGCGGCCGCGGTAAGACACCACCCCCTGCGCACCCCCGTATGGTGTCGAGAATATGCCATGCCTGCTGTGCCCTGGACGACTGTCACGGATAGCGGCCGCGGTGAGAGACCACCCCCTGCGCACCCCCGATGGTGTCGAGACTATGCCATGCCTGCTGTGCCCTGGACGACCGTCACGGATAGCGGCCGCGGTGAGAGACCACCCCTTGCGCACCCCCTACGCTGTCGAGAATATGCCATGCCTTCTGTGCCCTGGACGACTGTCACGGATAGCGGCCGCGGTGAGAGACCACCCCCTGAGCACCCCCTATGTGTCGAGAATATGCCATGCCTTCTGTGCCCTGGACGGCCGTCACGGAATAGCGGCCGCGGTGAAGAGACCACCCCCTGCGCACCCCCTATTGTGTCGAAGACATGTCATGCCTGCTGTCCACGGCCAGCACCGTCCACGGATAGCGGCCGCCGCGAAAAACCACCCCGCGCGCACCCCCTTATGGTGTCGAGAATATGCCATGCCTGCAGTGCCCTGGACGACCGTCACCGATAGCGGCCGCGGTGAGAGACCGCCCCCTGCGCACCCCCTCTGGTGTCGAGAATATGCCATGCCTGCTGTGCCCTGGACGACCGTCACGGATAGCGGCCGCGGTGAGAGACCACCCCCTGCGCACCCCCTATGGTGTCGAGAATATGCCATGCCTGCTGTGCCCTGGACGACCGTCACGGATAGCGGCCGCGGTAAGAGACCACCCCTTGCGCACCCCCTACGCTGTCGAGAATATGCCATGCCTGCTGTGCCCTGGACGACCGTCACGGATAGCGGCCGCGGTGAGAGACAACCCC